ACAATGCAAGAACATAAATTTTGCAGGTCAGTAACCACGGTTGCTTGCCAAAAGCAATTGTTTCCGACTATAATATCGATATTCATTTGATCGCATATAGATATTCTATCAACGATTTCCCCATGCCTTGATGTTCATAGCTCTCAGGTACTAAAGATATAATCTCAGCTGACCTGAACTCAGGATAATCCTCATTCGGGGTCTGGAAAATGGTACGCGACCGTTATGCGGTAGAACCGCACTACGGAACCCTCAGAGGCAACCGGCCAAAAACACTCGTTTCAGAGGGCTGTACTGTATCTTAGTCAGGGGCTTGTATGTTAATGAAGGTCTTTTTGAAAGACGATCTGCAGTAATCAGCAAATCTGGAGGACAAACGAGAAGACATTTGATCATGGCACTGATTATTCTTGGGCGTGGGTAGTTTAATTTGTCACAAAATAGTCTGATGGGACCGGAAAAAACTGCTCACCCGACCATGTAGGTCGTCTAAACGGGGTTTTACAGTAGGCCTTTCCATACTCGGGTGCCCATGATTTCATGAAATTTATGCAGTGAGGTCTGGGGAGTAAACTGTTCACAAATTCGAATTTAGACGTAATGCCTCCTTCTTGCTGGCGAATTCTGACTGGGGACATACGAAACGTATAAATGCTTTCTAATTTCCTGTGCTCAATCAAATTCTTCATTCACTGTTTACCAATGGTGTTCCCTTTTTGATAAGCAAGAATAGCAGGAAAACCACACGCAATCAGTTTACATGCTGGTTAAAATATTATTTTCGCGAAACGGTCTGGGCGGATGATTCTTCAGACCTCTAGACGAACATGTGTTTCTGTCATTCAATTCCCTGTGTTAAACTAATCAGGCATCTGGGCAGCACATCCTTCCGATTCGGTATCACGACTGACGTGACCAACCGTAGGAAACTAAACTGGCGCTCACCGCAGTTTCCAAGAATCTGTTTCCGGTTGTTTTTAGTTTCCTGCTTCTCTTTACCTTAACAAAGTATGCCTTTGAATTCAGCAGGGTTGGTCAGGTGTTTAGTCCCAGCATTTGTGGTCCATTTATAGACTGCTAGTGCCCACAGCAGATAGTCATCAAGCATATCATCCGTCAAGCACATGCGGCATCGAGTGCAGCCACCTTTGCTATATCGTTTCTACGCTTTATTCAGTAACTCCACATAATGAGAAGTTCTTACATTGCTTCAGTTTACAGACATGCTGGAGAAGTAGTTCGGTAAATAACGTCTAAAATTAGCAGCCAAGACAAAATGAGAAGACGTATGAAACGCCCTTGTTATGATAATTTAACTATAAGCCGCGCACGCATATTTTCACCAGAAAAAAACTGAATAGTACTTTTCAGCTTACTGGTTGGACGTGCGGGATAAAAACACCGTATATGAAGCGGAATTACAATCATAATGTATGGTCACGCTTACCTCACGTGTTTGTTCATGGTTACTTATTGTAACTCGCCAACAAAAAATACTGTTTCGAAGTATACACAACTACGAATAACGACTACATTTTACAATTGTTTTGAGTGATCCGAGAAGCATATTGAAAACGAATTATATATATATATATATTCATTTTGGATGTAACAGTCTAGTAATTCCACCAATAGACAGGTATAGTTAGAAAAAAATCATTTCTGTCCTTCAGAAACCTGAGATTCCGTCCATCCCCAAAGATTGATGATAACTGATCAGGTGAAATATTTCGATTAGCAAACAAGGCTGATCCCCGAAGTTAGATGGATTTTAGTAATTTAAAATTTGTCGGGCCACCGTAATCGCTCACTCCCGGCTAAATTTGTGAGAAGCACCATAAGGTATGGTCGTTGGCTTGTTCGCTGAGCTGGGCGATTTGATTGCAAACGTTTCATCACCAATCGAGGTGACATCATCAGTGTGTTATTGGGGTGTGTAGTGGTGCGTAGCGGTGGGTTAGTGGTTGTGCGTTGAGTAGTGTTACGTGTGTGTTAATATACGTGCTGGTAGCCGGAGATGACCTTTGATCGCGATTAGTTGTTCGGTCGGGCGGTGCCATTGGTTGGTCGTTTATCCTGTGTCCTCATTCGGCGATGCCCACGTGACTTTTGAGCTTGGCATCCCCCGCCGTCGTAATCTGGTCGGTGTTGGAGTGACCATTATCCTTCCGAGTCCTGGCTTGTGACCTTTATTGATTTAACTCCAAGGAATTCCTCGTTCCTTTGTTTGTGAATCCAATATTTGGTTCTCCTTGANTTATTATACGTGCTGGTAGCCGGAGATGACCTCTAACCGCAATTAGTTGTTCGGTTGAACGGTTCCATCGGTTGCTCTGTTATCCCTGTCCTCATTCACCGATGCCCACGTGACTTCTGAGCTTGGCATCCCTCGCCGTCGTAATCTGGTCGATGTTGAAGTGACCTTTGTTCGTCCGAGTTCCGGCTTGTAACCTTTATTGATTTGACTCCGAGGAGTTCCTTGTTTCTTTGTTTGTGAATCCAATATTCGGTCCTCCTTGAGTGTTCCAGTTGAGACGTTGGTCTTTTGCACGTAGAGGTGCGTAAATTGGATCCAGATCGAATCTACCGTGGAGTATCATGTTTCCAGAAACTCCCTTTCGTGTCGTGTGTCTCCGTATGCCAAAAGTTGGCGTTTTCCAGAATGAATTTGTGGCCTTGGTCCTCGTTTATAGATATCAAGGACAAGGGGTCATGCCTCCTGAAAGCCGCATTGTGTTCCTTTATTCGTGTACATAATTTTCTCCCAGTTTGTCCAACGTAGAATTTGTTGCAGTTGTTGCAGTTGAGTTGGTATATCACATTGTTTCTCTTGGCTTTGTCCCGGTCGTCCTTCGGTCTAGAGATTAATTTCCTTAGGGTGGCATTAGGTTTGTGGGCCACGATATCAATGCATCTTATCTATGCATTTACACGGTTGAACGCGGGAGACTGTCAACAAATTCTGTTTAGTCTCTCACCTCCCGACCGCTCTGCCAGTTGGGCGAAATGTGCTGCACACATAATACGAAATGAATACATTTTGTTGTGGCAACTATCCCGGTACCAGTGTCATAAGCTTTTATACTCATTGTTTTATTTTCCTAAGACTTCCGTAGTTGTCAACGTTCAGTTGGTTGTATGCTCATGTTGTAATAACAGTTCATTTCAAAAAAACCAAGTTCTGCACAAATTAGTGTGTACTTGGAGTGGATTATTGGGATGGAATATGGTTGGATGAAATTAAACGAAACAGACCACATATTGAGGGACATTTCGGTTGCTCCAAAGATGTCGCACGATCTTTATAAGAAGGGCCTAAGATATCCAGGGGATTACAGCAGCAAGTATTGGCCGCAATACCTACTCATCCGATCCGCTCTTGTAACCGTGCTGTTTACTATTCAAGCGAAACGTTTCGATTGAGGCCTTTAAGGGCCCTCTAGTTCAGGTGTAGGCTTGCACCATACCTGTTTTTTTTCGAGTCCAGAACTCAGTCATACGTAAGAAGCCAGCTGTAACTTTCGAAGTGACCTTAAACAAGAGTGTCTCTTCACTACCATACACTAATTATGGAAAGGGGATCATTCTATTTCACTGGGAGTTACAATCGGAAGTGAATCTGAGTTATAGGTACGGCTCCTATAATTTACGACAGAAACTCAGTTCAGTGGTTCACAAGCAGAAACCAATAGCTCTAACTGCACCCTGTCCTCAAACTAGACAAAGTTTTGGAGCTACAGATTTGATTTCAGAATGTATTCAGTCTCCACAGGTATTTTGGTTGGATTGCTTCTAACGGTAGTGCATAGATATGAACCCTTCAACAAAAGGTGAATCGATAGACAGATCTTTTTATCCCATGGCCTGTTTTGGGGGCAAACCCTATTTTGTACAGGTGATCTTTGTACCACGTTACTTATTACTTTGCAGGGATGATTAATGACGGAAGATTGTGGTAGCCATCCATCTCGCGAGGGTATATGCCAGGTAAATCACACGTAAAATCCAAGTTAAGGCATGCGGCTTAGAGCAGTAATCAAGTTAGTAGCGCTCCCGTTATCTCGCGAGGTTAGAAGCCTGAGATTACTCATTTGGGTAAATGCCAGGTAAATCACACGTAAAATCAAAGTTAAGGCGTGCGGTTTGGAGCAGTAATCAAGTTAGTAGCGCTCCCGTCAGCTGGGCGTTATGTCACAGTTACAGAGAGTGCAGATTTTGTATTTTCGACGGTCTGTTGCGTAACTCTCTGGAACTACTGTAGGCAGCAGGAAACTATTGCACGGAAACCCTCGAGCCAGCTTAAGCTACCGAGCACGTGTGCTGAAATCAACTGGGCACGTAGTTCTTTATTAGCGCCATGCTGTTGACAGAATTAAGCAAAGAATACGATGAGTAATACGTGGTTTGAAAGGATTGAAGTTAGATCCTCATTGCGATCTGAGCGCAATAAAAAACCTACATGTCGGGTGAGCTTTGCTTCCAAGTCTCTTCGATCTCTTTACTCTTGTTGCTTAAGCCATAAGGAGGTTGGTGATAGTGCGACCCTACGGTTAACAACCTAAAGTCGTTAGCTATAGGTCACGTAACCGATTCATCAGATGGAAATTGATGAGTCCGTTAAGGACGGAAGGCTTGGTCCAAGTGCACCCATAGTACTAAGTTTTCATACTTTGGTGGTCGTCGCTAGGTCCGTTCATTTCGGTCTTCCGTGCCGGGAATTAGGTTCACCATCCGCAGGTTAAGGAATGAGTTCACTTCAGTTGTCATTTCATTAAGTTAGATCACCAGATTATGAATTCAAACTGCTTTACTCTGTCCATTTAACCAAGAAGGATGTCACCCATATTTATGAATGTTACTTTGGGTACGGGATTTGGTGAGGTGATAACCTTGTCTGTCTCAAGACGATGAAGCACGTCATGTATTGCACACTTGACTGTTCATATCAAATCACTAATTTTCATTCACCATTCCTGTTTCACGTGAATTGTTTCGCACAGGAATTCACTAGGCAACTGACAGATCGTTTTCTTAGACAGCGACGAATGCGCAGGGTGTTCAACTCCTGGAAACTTATCCTTCAAGGTACTTGGAAGAGTCGATATATGCAACAGCTCAAAAGTGAAGCTCGCGAAGAGTTTCAACGTTTGACGGATGAATATCAAAGAAACAAAAGACAGGTGAGCGGCACTGGATCTCTGTTGCTCTGAATTTAAGAAACAAGGAAGCGGTATGAAAAGTGGTCGGCCTTATTCGAGCTATTTCGGGACTATGTTTTACATAGTGAATTTTTCACTGTGACTGCACTTCAAACTTACCTCATGTGGCTTATGTCGCAAGTGAAGAGTTTATTTTGTAACTTCATCAGTTTCACTCCAAAGTTACCAACAGAAGGCTTGCAATAAGTTCATCTGTTTTCGCTACTACTCATTAGGTAAATGAAAACTCTTCGACAGCCCACGACCGCTTGTGTCTTTCTTGGGACCCATCAGGTAGACGCAGTCCCCAGGTTTCCACCAAACTTTGGTTTTAGTTGAAAACTAGTTGTAGTCAAACCAAATTAGTGTTAACCTGAGACTCAAATGAATCCCATATAAATTTCTATCGGATATTCTTCAACTGACAGCCTAACTTTCAGTTGGTATGGTCTTCGAAATACCACAATATATCTTACTAGTCGCAAGTTTATTGCAAATACTGCGACAGCCCATGGCAGGTTTTACCCTTATTCGATACTCCTCATATGGGTCTATCCCCTTAATCTTATTTCCTACTTGAACATGAAATTCTGCGTACACTGCGACAAATGTTCAACTGTAAGTTAATTTGGTGTGGTGATGGTGAAGCACTTAGATATATCAGTTATCCCCTCAACCCAGACATGAGTTGGTTCGTGTGTAGCACAGTCATTTGAAGAAGACCATAAACAAAAGTTTCAGTTGACTTAGATGAGTTCTAAGTCATGCTTGATAACAGTCAAATCCCAGTTATACTCTTTATGTTCTCCGGAGTGGCAGCACTAACCGGAATCTCGTCCTTCAAGTAAAGTGTAGAGCTAACAGGATTGTGTGGTTGTTTCATCCATGCTGGCGAACATCCGCAGGGGGCATCCTACATTCATGTGACACCAGCGACCTCCCGGTCGGTAGAGACCACTATACTGCGCAACAGAAGATAGCTGATTAGTAATGTCATCAGCTCCCACTTGGGCAGGGTTTGGACTCACCAAATTCAAATCACGCTGTTCACCATCCGATGTTGAGTGCCTCCTTAAATAACGATAAAAATCTACGCCACGTGTGATTTTCTTCCTTTCTGATAACTGTTGATGATTCTCTGCAAGAACGGGACAGAGTACAATGGTTCAACCCCTTTCACTACGGATTACCTCCGTTTGCAGAATGGAATCACGCTAGAAATTCCAGATTGTTTCTACAAAGTGTTTAATCACTATTTGACTTTTTATCTGTCTGGTGAACTTTCACACCCATCTGGGAAACCTACTAATTTCACACCAAATTCGGACAGTTTCAGTATTTTAACTCGTAAATCAGCTACCATCTTGTTGTTGAGAAATTTTGTGGTTGATACATCCTTGTGATGTTTTTCAAAATACCCGAGAGGGGGGTCGGGAAATCGCTTCCTAAAAGAAGCGCTATTCAGCCATATGCAGTGAAGCAGTCACCCCTTTTTGTATGTATTTTGGGGTTCCAGTCATGGAAATAATAAACTGACCAGTAATGCAGATATTCCGGATTTAGGTAGAGGAAGGGTTTTAACATTTTTGTACGTCTTGCTCTTTATTCTGATTTCTTTGCCCTTTGGCTTAGAAATCGGCCTCCATCAGCAATTCCGAAGTACGTCGAATAGTATTCGGGAGAAATAAGTCACTCTCGATAGGTGAACTGATCACACTGCATAGGTTGCGCTGGTTTGGCCACGTGTTGCTTATGCCAGTCGACCGACTTCCTCGAAGGGCTCTTTTCACACAACCACGTGAAGGGTGGAAGAGAGCCAGAGGCGGCCAAACAATGACTTGGCAGCGAAGTATGAAAGCCATTACCAGCAAACTCAGCTGCGCTGGTCACTGCCGTCTTCCTGGATGGG